TTTTTTTTTTTTTTAAAGATTTATTTATTTATTTATTTATTTATTTTGAGGGAGGGAAAGGGTGATTTGCGGGGAGAGGCAGAGGGAGAAAGAGAATGTCCAGCAGATTCCCTGCTGAGCGTGGAGTCTGACCTGGGGCTCAATCCCACAACCCTGAGATCATGGCCTGAGCTAAAATCAAGAGTCGGATGCTCAACCGACTGAGCCCCCCCACCCCAGGCACCTCACCCCAGACGTTCTTTAGAGGCCTGCATTTAAAGTAGGAAGCAGACGCAAAGTGGGAATGATCTCAGCAAACATCTCGAAGCCGCCACACATGCTCTTGAAGGCACCCCATGCCCGTTGCTTCCAGCGTCCTTGGAAGGTTTTATCCACACTGAGAAAAGTCATTGCCTTCCTTATAAAATATTTTCTCCAGTCAAGTACTGTATTCCAGATTACAAGGCTATTTGTGGGTCTTTGTTTTTGTTTTGTTTTGTTTTGTTTTTTTAAAAGATTTTATTTATTTGACAGACAGAGATCACAAGTAGGCAGAGAGGCAGGCAGAGAGAGAGGGAGAAGCAGGCTCCCTGCCGAGCAGAGAGCCCGATGCGGGCCTCGATCCCAGAAACCTGGGATCATGACCTGAGCAGAAGGCAGAGGCTTTAACCCACTGAGCTACCCAAGTGCCCTCTTTGTTTGTTTTTATGGGACAGGAAGCTAAAAGACCAGACTGTCCAGTTCATTATCAGCTACTGGCCTGGCAAAGGAAGGCCACTGGCAACGCCAGGCTGAGTGGTTTGCCTGAGGTCCCAGAGACGAGGGCAGGCTGGAGCAGGCCCTCGAGTTTGGGGCCCCGGCTCCACACACCAGAAGGAAGGACCCCAGGCGCTGCTTTGCAACAACTCTCAGGCCTGAGAAGGAGGGAGGCAGGGGGTGCCCTCAGCCTGCACCTCCCAACCCTGTTAGGTATACAGCCACCACAAAGAATCCCTCCAGCCTGACAGTGAAAGGACCACCCCCCACCCCCGCTCAGCAGTGGGCATCCCAGCAGCCAAACCCACCAAGCCCCCCCTCTATCTGCACACCATGTGGGACACGAAGGCCACGAGGCCTCGGGAGCGGCCTGGAAGGAGCAGTAAGGTGCCTGCGCCTCTTCCCATCCCACCAGCCGGCTGCCCGAGAATTCGAGGGCTCACATTTGGCCCCTGACCAGAGCTGAGCTCTGGGTCATTTGCTGTTTCTGTGTTTGGGGTGCGGGGGAAGGACCCTCCAGGCAGGTGGGCAGCAGGCGACGGGCCCAGGCTGCGTGCAGCCCCACTGGCTGGCTGATGGGCACCCACAGGGGCGGCCGAGTCCACGTGGCAGGTGCCCCCCCGAGGCCAGGCTCCGGGGTGGCTCCAGTCAGCCTGGGGCCTTGCGGGCCTGAGCTCACCCCGATGTGCTGCGCAAGCCCTCCAGGACCTGGAGCCGCTCCTCTGGGCCTCATCCTCAACTTGGCTGCCAGGCCCGAAGACCGGATGTATGTGTCCTCCCCAGGACGTGGGGTTCAAGGGTGGAGTTCTCCCGACCAGCTCCTGCCCCACCCACTGAAGCCCCTTCCCTCACAGGGCCTCGACGCTTCCCACCCATCCAACAGACACAGTGAACCCTGCATCGCGCTAGATGGACAAGAAGACCCTTCAGTTTGTGGGGGTCCAGCCTGAGAGGGAAGGGTCCTGGCTGGGGGGACCCTACACAACTCACTTGCCCTCCTAAAGCCCCAGCTTCCTGGCTTGCCTCTCGAAAGAGGTGTGAGGTTCCCCCCAGGGCTCGCGGGAAGGCGAGGGTGGCAGGGTTGGAAGCCATCCCAAGACCCAGCTTCCAGCTGCCGAGGCGCTAAGGGGTTGGGACTCAGATGGCTGTCGCCCTGCCTGCCCTTTCTTCCTCTGCCTTCCTGGTTCCAGGAGCAGAGAAGCTGATGGGGAAACCAGTGAGTATGCAAATTCCCGCATTGTTGGGAAATGATCCCGGGGAGCTCCCAGAGGATGGCTGGCTGCCAGCCCCTCCCCATCTCCACAGGTCCCCGGCCTCACCCTGGGGCTCTCAGCAACAGGGCCCGGACTCTGAGTCTGCTTTCCCGAGTTCAGTTTCAAAGGTGGGTTAACCCTGCAGGGGGCGTAGGGGGACTCCGGAAACCTCGGCCTCCCTGGCAAGGAACAAACTGGCCCCAAATGGATGAAGCTCCTTCCTTGGATGTCCCCACCCACTCTGTCCCCATCTGACTCCACTAGCCTGAGGAAAACCCAGCGGTCCCTAAACGTCTGGGGCATTTCAGCAAGGAGCCCGAGGGCACTCAGGCTGGGGAAGCAGCCCTCCCAGGCCCCATACCCCCAGTGCTGCCAGCACTTCACACATCCCTGGTCTCCCGCAGGGCAGCTGGTGTGGGGCAGTGACTGGGAAGAGGCCACCACTGACACCGCCCCCTGCGCAGCCACTTCCTCCCCTACATAGAAGGGCAAGACCCCTGCCCTCAAGGTGAGGCTGGGCAGGTCTCCATCAGGGAAACTGGGATTCAGTGGGACACAAATCCAGGAGTCGAGAGCGGGTGGAGCCGGGACCTCACACCCTGGGCCTCGCTGGTCCCCAGAGGCTCCTGCCCCCAATAAGGCAGTCCTGGGATCCTAGCACTTCTGCTCCAGGGCTTCTCAAACCTCTGGCTGATTTTTTCCCCCTAGACCATAGCAGAGTGGGTGGAGTAGAGGGTGGTGAGTAAGAGCCTGTTCTGAGGACCTCCTAGTTCATGGGAAGGGTGTGGGAGATTTGGCTGAAAAGAGACAGGAAGTAGAGCCCTACAATTAAGGGAACACAGACCATCCCAGGCCATGGTATGTAAATCCTTCCAGCTAGTTCCTGGATGGGGAGGTGGCCTCAGGCTGTCATCCTGGGATATGGCCTTTTGAAGGACATCTCAAGGCAGGTACTGGCCATCTTAAATTGCTCACCCATTTAAGAAATGGCTGCGAACTCGGTAGAAGGGAAGGAAGGATCAGGCAACCCACCCCACCCCACCCTGGGCTGGGCATGTTGCTGGGTCTGGGAAGGGTCTAATGGCTCTGATTCTGGCGGCTCTCCAGATTAGAGCCCCACTATAGGCCAGGGGTGCTTGTGGGGCTCTGCCTGCCACCTGCTGGCGCCTCCTGGTATGACTGTCTGTGCGGCAGGAGGTCGCTGAGCAACGGGTCTGAACAAAGTGCCCAGAGACAAGCATCTCCAGTAGGAGCTGAAAACAAGACTCTAAAGAGAATAATATAGAAAGTGCTAAGGCAAAGATGGGAATTGTTTCTTCTTTGCTGTTTTTTTTTTAAATGTAAGCTCTGTGCCCAGTGTGGAGCTTGAACTCACGACCCTGAGATCAAGAGTCACTCACTCTATGGACTGCCCTTTACAAAGTTGAAAGCTCCAGAAAATTCCAACTGTTATGGGTAACAAATCGCCCAAGAAAAATCCTCAGGAAGTGGAGGAATAAGAAGGAATGGAAAAGGAGAAAAAAACACATGTGTTCACATTTAAAAAGTGATTTGGGCAATAAAGCCACAGGGAAATCTGTTTTTACCCTTTGACACGGTGGCTCGGCAATCCCACCACTAAGAATCATATTTGCAAAACATAAGGCACTATGACACTGCCCAAAATGACAAAAGATGAAAAACAGCATTAATGTCATCATCAGCGGACCGGTTAAATAAACTGTGGTGTACACACGTAAAGCAATGCCAGAGCGCCGACAGAAATGAGGTTCACAAGCTGCATTCATATAACGCTTTCTAAGCTGTACAACTAGCTACTAAGCTGTACAACTAGCTACCATTTTGGTACTAGGCACATGGCTGTGTGCATATCGCTCATTCGTGTACAAAGCTCCTCTGGAAGGGTCCGTGAGGAACCGCCTCTGGGAAGGACAAATGGTTGCTGAGGGACGGGTGGACTTTTTTTTTTTTTAAGATTTTATTTATTTATTTGACAGACAGAGATCACAAGTAGCCAGAGAGGCAGGCAGAGAGAGAGGGGGAAGCAGCCTCCCCGCTGAGCAGAGAGCCCGATGTGGGGCTCAATCCCAGGACCCTGGGACCACAACCTGAGCCGAAGGCAGAGGCTTTAACCCAGTGAGCCACCCAGGCACGCCACGGGTGAACTTTTTTTTTCATTGACCATACTCCTGTACTATTTGAATATATGCCATTTGCATGTATTATTTATTCAAATGAAATCTTTTAACACCTCCTTAGGGTACAGAAATAAGTTATGGGGATGGGGATCTGAGGAGGGTTCTGTCGGCCAGGGGCCTCCAAAGGTTACTCTTGTCCATGGACAGTAAACACTTAGAGCACACACACCCCCAACACGTAGGTGGTGTTACATCAGGATAACTGCCCGTTCTAAAGAGCAGGATGGCTGAAGTGCAGCAACTGCTTGTGGTTCAACCTAACGTTTATTCCTCAATTATCTCCATGTACTAAAGAATATTTTTACATGTTATTATATACCACATTCAAAGTGACAACTAAAAAAGGCTGAGCCAGAAAATAAACACAAATCGAAGGCCTGAAATGTACCCTTCCAACCGCCCCCCTCCCAGCCATAGGCCATCCTCCATACCCTCCTCCTTGGGGACCCCCACCTCAGCCCATCTTGGCAGTGACAATTTTACTGTGATTTTACTCTACAGAAGTTTTCCAAAGTGAAAACTGTTTCTAATCCTGAAGATTACCACTGAGAAAATTCAGACACAGTAACATTTACATGGACACGGGAGAATCCCAATGCCTTCTCCTTAGTCACCTTCCCAGGCCCCGAGCAGGACAGCAGCCCGGAGAGGTCCGCGTGTACACACACGCTCGCGCTCACACTCCACATGGCCCCGGTGCAGCAGCCCTGGCAGCGGGCTTCACACGGGGATTTTTACATGCAGTCATGCCTCAGGAGTTGGGAGCAAGGATGAGGGGCAGACAAGTCAGAATAAAAACAAAAACTAGGTCGCAGAGTGTTTCAAAACAGCGTATTTACTCCTTTCAAAGTTAGGCCATTTAAATACTTGTTTCCATTCCTTTATTCACCACACAGGTTGCAGTATCAACAGTCCTCCTTGTAGGATACTTACAGAGTACTCTCTAGCCCCCAAAGGCTCCATTTCTCAAAGCATTCCAAAGGCCCCCAAGACGCGGACAGCAGCACTGAACTCCCGTGCCCTCGGCCTGCCGACCCCGTCCGACTCCCGACACTTCCCTCAGGCCCTCCCGCTGGCCCCAAAGAACAAGCAGTCCTCTCCTTTGCGGGTTGTCCCTGCTCTCCATCTTCAGCCTGCAGGGTCTGACGCTATTTAGAACATGCGGAGTTTCAACAAAATAAACGATTTCTCAGCCTCGGGAAAAGCAAGCATACTTGAGACTCCCTTGGGAGCTGTACAAACACCATCCTCCCAGGAGAAGACATGAAATAGAACTACCACGAGTCTGGATTTTGTTCAGCGTCTTATAACCTCGAACAGGAGCTAAGGGCAACTTCTTCCCGTTGTGGAGATAAGAAGCCTAAAGGCCTAAAGCAAAATACTATTCCAGACCCTGATAATCCGGTGAAGGCCTGCCTAGAAGGAAGTCCCTCTCATGGGTCCTGGCAGCCACTCTGGCAGGGTCACTGGTCAGGTCTGAGTCTTTCAGACCAACTTAGTTAATAACCAAAGCGACAAATATCACAAGCATGGTAGGCATCTCTTGGGGTTTCTGCCCAAATGTCTCCAATTTAGAGAACATAAGCACTCCCTCATGTCTTAAATATCTTTAGTCTGTGGCCAGCTTACAGGAAAACTTGGGAGGTCCCCTAATCAATGACTGAAAACTTTACAGAGAAAATAAGTATAAAGCAAGCAGCCTACCTCTAACCATGATCATATACATACATGTGTATTCATATACACAGGTATGTTTTTATATAATATAACTTTTTAAGAGCAATCCCACCAGATCTCAAGCAAATGTCAAAACTATGAGAGAAATATTCTCAGGTTTGCTGTGCGCTCTCCTCTGGGCCACGGAGACCACAGGAAGCCCCACTTTTCTCTCACAGGAAAGGAGAGAAACTGACAAAGGAGGGTATAGAAATCTTCTGGTCCCCATGGTTTTAAGCTTTATAATTGTTTTTTTTTTCTTTTTTAAAGGATCAATCTAAATATAAGAAACTATTTTCTTAAAAACCTTAACATTGGAGTTCTTGCTACCAAAGACCTCTAATTAGCCACAGAGTCAAAAAAAAAAAAAAAAAGTTTATTTGAGAACAAGAGTAAAAGCTTTTGCACATCTGACAAGGTAGACTCGTTCTGCTAATAGATGCCATCCGTATTCAGCTCTACCAATATTATCACAATGGAACATACTTGTTCTAACAAAGATATGGGCCTAAGTCAAGGACTATGACTAGACAGCATCAAAGGAAAGATGGGGCCCCAAATCTTATCTCCTAGACTGATTTGCAACATGGGATTTCAATCAAACACTCCTCATGCAGTGGTTCTCAAACCTGGCTTCTCATCAGAATCCCAGGGACTCTTTGGAAGGAAATCCCAGCCACTAGACTGCACCCCAGTCGGAGTCTCTGGGGGTGGGACCCAGGCACCAGCAGGTCCTTAAGCTTCCCAGGTGACTCCTGTGAGCAGCCGAGGTCAAGCCCCACTCCAGAGGCAGATAACATCTCAATGAACCGGCAAGCTCCCCAGCCCGAGCAGCCCTGTGAGGTAGGGGGTCTGCTGGGCATTGCTGGCTCTCGCAGATCCCATCTCTCACTCTCCTCAAGAATTCCAAACGTTACCGGCTCTGGGGGTAACGCTGAGCCTTTCCATATACCTTAGTGATTTTTAGAGCAATGTTTAATCAGGCAGATACCAGCAAAGAAAGAAAAATGGAAAAAGGAAGAAATTTCCATAAGGCATGATACGAATAAATAAAATAAGTGAAAAAACAATCTCAGGTTTAAAAGTAAAGCATGAGAAGTCAACACCTGTGAAATTTTATTTATATAAAAGAATAAAAATATCTATTTTAAAAGGATTGATTTAAACTTAGGTTTTTCAGCTTTTCCTGTTCCTTGAACATGAAACTGCTTCCAACGCAGAAAGATTTAAGATAGGTAATTATTAAATAAACCCTCTTTACCTTCCCCCTGCAAAAACACAGAGCCAAGTTCCTCATTTTCTTTATGGTAAACCAGATTCTTTTCAGTTAAGAATACTGGCAACGGCATGAAGCAGATGATCAGATATGTTGGCAGGAAGGTATGAGCTGTACAATGGCATTACAAAAAGTCCCCAAAGAAAAGAAGATGGTAAAAACAATAGAAAAATAATAAAACACAAACAAAATAAGAAAATGCCCGATATTTACAGCCTCCCTCTGAAACGTGACCTACATTCTACCTTCAGCATAAAACAAAACCAGAGAACATTTCTTGATGGGTATCACAGATGAAGCTGGTGCCAGCCAGTTTGCGGGGACACATTCATTCCAAGAAGGGAGAAATGCAGCGTTAGCAACTTGCTGGAATTATAACCATATCTTGGTCTTCTTGCAGTTCTGTTACTAAAAATGACACACAGTAAATGATCCAATGTGGTCTTACAGAAATGACTGGTCACCACGTTTCAGAACAAACTATTCAGAGTCACAGGCACTGGGTCTGGGAAAGCAGAGGTGGATGGCTGCACACTCAGGTGAGGGATATGTATCTTTGTGAGGTTGGAGGAGGGAAGCAGGGCTCTACAGCCTGGAAGCTTCTGCAGCTTCTGCACTAATGAGTCTTCTAATAGTCCTGAAGAGAGAAAGAGAGAGTCCCAACTTACTCTCAGAACACTAGTTGGAACCTAAGAAAATAATCCATCAACGGCCCTGCTAGGGGATTGTTCTATAGCCAAAGATTCTAGTCCAAATATAATAGACAATATTTCACACCTGAAACATTAATTCTGCCGTTATTAGGCCCCCTGAGCTCACCAATCCAAAACAAAACAAAACAAAACAAAAATAAAAACAACTAGTATTAACAATTCATTCTTTAATCAAAGGGAATTTTTCTTCAGTAAAAATGTGTGACCCCTCTCTCTAATCAAAACAAAACAAAACAAAAAACACAAAACAAGAACCAACCAAACAACAACCAAAAAAAAAAAAAGGCAAAAAAACCTAAGTAACCCTTAAAAGTTGAAGTATATCCAACTGGATACCCCAGCCTTTAAAATGGAGAGTTGTAACCTGAGATTAGAACACTCAGCTCTGAAGAGAACACATTTTTCTAATCATCTACAAAATCACCAGCCTCTCTGAAATGGTCTGGCTGATACTTACAGCTCGTGGTTTTTTGTTTAACTTCAGATCAATCCTGTGATAGAAAAGATAAAACATTTGCATTTTAATTTACAGAAAGAGGGGCCAGGAATCAGCTACTGCATAGGGCACAAGCTATAACAAAGACTATTTGGTTAAGTAAAACCCACATTCTTCATTAGACTATGTCATATTTAGTTGCTTACCCAGATATTATTAAGCAAGTATTTAAAAATATAAGCAGATACTTTTCGCCACAAGGCAAACTTAGATGACAAAAAGAAATACACAGCAGTTATGAAAGCCATATAATTTAAAAACTATTCAAAACTATGCATTAAAGAGATTGGACTAAGAGGGCATGCTCTATGTTAATGTGTTAGCTTTGTAACTATATCACTGATAATCACTGAGACACATAATGATTAAGAACAGGAAAGAGACTAGGAGTTTGTATTTCTGGACATGAAACACAAAAGAAATTAAACAAATTTCAATTTTTAAATCTTTCCAAAGCAAAATATCAAGATCTTAAACTATTAATCTCCTTATGAAGCAAAGCCAGAAAATCAATTTAAATGTGAATTAAAGTAAAGGTTATCTATTTTTAAAGAAATTAAGATGCATAAAAGTGAAGTTTACTTAATTTTGCTTATGCTTAAGTTATTAAATAAAATGTTACCTCCATCACGTTTTTCTGTTTTTAAAAAAAACTTCCCAGCCTAACCTAATATACATACCTACAATTAAACAGATAAACTATGGGTTAGAAAGGTCTCAAAAAGGCATATTGGTGTCTACACACTAAACAACACAGCACAAATACTAATTCAAATCAAACTTACTCAAAGTCATAATCAAACATGCCAGACGGGCTGAGGGGCAGCATTTGAAAGGAAGAAAGCAATAGAAATTAATATACTAATTGAATAAATTAGTCGATTAGCCACCCTAGCAAGATTCATAGAAACAAAATCAGCTTTAAGAATCTTAAGCCATAAAGTTTCAAACATCAAAGCACCAAAGATTCTGTGGTTGGGAGAGTCCCTTCCCTCACTGGATTTCGTATCAGAAGAACAGACTAAGAAAGGAAAAGTTATTGCATTAGAAAACGAGGTACCTGCAGGCCGTCTATTAGCTGCCAGATTCAGAGTTAGAACTTTTAAAATACGTGATTGTAGTGAAAAATATAAACAGCACATTAGAAGAAATAGAGAAAGAAGGGTTTAGTCATATAATGAAAGGGCGCTTTAAAGATAGTACTAACAATTCAGCACAATACACTTTGACTAACATGAAAGATAAAAACATTATACATTTTTAAAAGAAAACATTCTGCAACTTTTAACCCAAGTCCTAAGTTCTAAGAATGTCCAGGAAACATGGTACTCTTTTTCTAGAGCATTCATCCTAGAAAGCCAAGGGTCGAATGAATAAACTTTGGTGACAGTCTTGTTCCAGAGGACTGCACGGTCCCATCACTTTGCCCCTGAACTGGTGATGGCAGGTAACTGTTTATGTCAGGGCTAGGATTAAGAACACCCAAATCTACAGCCCCCGCCTCCCCCAGGAAGACAAAGGAGAGCCGACATCCACAAGCACCTGAGCCTCAGGGATCTGGAAGGAACAGTGCAGGGGAGGAGGCTGTTTAGGGCATCACTGCTAACAGGCCACGGTCTGGGCAGACCTCCAAAGCAAACATTAGCCCTGAGCATGACTCCAGCTCTTTGGCTGGCTCCAACACCTTTCACACTGTAGACAGGTGCTGAAACCATATGCAAAATGCTCTATCTTCCTCCTGGCCCATGTTTGCAAGAGTGAAGCTGGAAGAAAGCGTAACTTCACTATCTCTTAGGCAACCGCCTCACTTAAGTCATTTGTGGAAGAGTACGCAGCATGCAAACCAGGAACCATCAAAAATTTAACTTTTCAGGGGCGCCTGGGTGGCTCAGTGGGTTAGAGCCTCTGCCTTTGGCTCAGGTCGTGATCCCAGGGTCCTGGGATCGAGCCCCACATCGGGCTCTCTCCTCGGCGGGGAGCCTGCTTCCTCCTCTCTCTCTGCCTGCCTTTCTGCCTGCTTGTGATCTCCCTCTGTCAAATAAACAAATAAAATCTTTAAAAAAAAAAAAAAATTCAACTTTTCAGGACACCTGGCTGGCTCAGTTGAAAGAGCCGGAAAAGACTCCTGATCTCGGGGTCGTGAGTTCGAGCCCCACGATGGGTGTGGGGATTACTTCAAGTAAATAAAACTTCAAAAAGAATTTAATTTTCAGCCTAACCTAAATTTGTTCACAAGTGAGACTGTACCTACTTAATGAAAATGTCACAAACTACCTAGAATTCTAGAGTTCTGTGTATTAGTAAAAACCTCTAAGAGCAGCTATAAGTTATTATTTCTACTTTTTTCTTTAAAGTCACTGGGACTTATTATTCAGATAACATATAAAATATACGAATTCAGAACACTGTGATCATTTATGAATGCTAAAAATTATTTGACATATGTTCATATTCCTCAAGAGGACAAACCCAAAATTTACTACTTTTTGCTACGGTATCGTATTCATTTCCACTTTGCTTTACTCACCCCTACACAATGCCTGGCACACAGCAGACTTTCAGACATCTGTTGAAATAATTCACTATCGACTTTCTGAGAGTATCTGGGGCGTGGCAAGTTGGGAGGAGAAACAAGTAGGGCACTGAATGCAAATGTACACACGTGTGTGAACAAAGTGCTCCACTCTCCACCCTTCCACAAAGACAGGAGTCGGGGACAAGGAGTTTGGACACTTCCTGACTGAAGATGGTAGGAATCAGAGAAACTTCACTGGCCCCTGAGGTGCCACTCTGGTGCACTGAACATTTTTATATAGAAAGAAGGTAAATCAGCTCGACTCTGCTCCCTTGGAGCATATAGGCGCCTACGGCCAATGGAAAAGGCAAGCCAGGTATTATACCAGGGGGATGACAAAAGGATCCTGGCTTTCCAAACAGAAAACACCATTTGTGAAAGCAATAAATAATACCCATCTTTATAAATCCTTCTATTTTTCTGGAAGGAGTTAGCTCTAGGAGCCAGAGGAAAAAAGGGTAGGAAGGAGTAATGTTCCTATGGAAATCTACTAGAAACCCACAGGAGGAAGTTAAGTTCATGTCTAATTCCCTTTTATCAGTCAGCTGATCATGGCATTAAGAAAAGGGGAAGTATCACCTACAATGAACAGTAGCTACCTACTGAATCACTAATGGGAAAAATGTCCCAGAAACTTTCAAGGAATTGTCCCCCTATTCTAGACACTGTGAAATAGGAAAAGAATCGTTACTTTAAAATAGCACTGGAGTGGGACGCCTGGGTGGCTCAGTTGGTTAAGCAGCTGCCTTCAGCTCAGGTCATGATCCCAGCGTGCTGGGATCGAGTCCCACATTGGGCTCCTTGCTCACCAGGGAGCCTGCTTCTCCCTCTGCCTCTGCCTGCCGTTCTGTCTGCCTGCGCTTGCTCTCTCTCCCTCTCTCTCTCTCTGACAAATTAAAAAAAAAAAAAAAAAATCTTAAAATAGCACTGGAGTAAATTTAATAAAAGCAACATAGAACATGACATTTAAAATTACCTTAACAATTTAAAAAAATATTTTAAGAGTCTAGCTCCCTGCTACTGCTTGTGATGAGCTAGCATTAGGCCTACCGCAGTGATCAAATAGCCTATAACCTTACTAATCTTAAGATCTTGCTATTTCTTTACTGCAGTCATGAGATTGGCATAGTGATTTTTGGTTTGCAGGAAAGTATTAAACAGTGATCTTGAGTCACTCTTTGGAGGAAATACTATTTCTGCAGTCTAAAAACCACTGCCACCACTGACAAGAAAAATTCTTTAAAAAACTAGAGAATCTGGGGCGCCTGGGTGGCTCAGTGGGTTAAGCCACTGCCTTCGGCTCAGGTCATGATCTCAGGGTCCTGGGATCGAGCCCCGCATTGGGCTCTCTGCTCAGCAGGGAGCCTGCTTCCTCCTCTCTCTCTGTCTGCCTCTCTGCCTGCTTGTGATCTCTCTCTGTCAAATAAATAAATAAAATCTTTAAAACAAAACAAAACAAAAAAACTAGAGAATCTGCTGATGCCTAGGAGGCTTAAACCAGTTCAAGTTCATTCTGTATTACCGCCATGTGCCATGACCACGAAGCTAACAACGTGAATGCCTTGGGTGTGTGAAGGAATATCCCACAGGTCTGTAGAGCAACCCAGCCCAAAGGGTACTGGAGGACAGGGAACCCCGCCACACCTTGCCTGCATCCGTTCACCTCAGTATGTAAGCTCCCAAGAGGAGCAGGACAAAAGCCAGCCTATGGACACCTGGTTTTCACGCCTGCCAGAAGACAGTTGGAAGTCAGGGAAAGACTGCTCACTCTAGAAGCTATGCATCCCCCTCCCTGAGTACAGCTGTACAATTATGAGTTAATAGGCCCTGGCATTATCATACAAACCCCAGGCAGAGTGTAATGCTAAAATCCTCTCTGGGTGACACCTGACCTCTCTGTCCACTGATGTCATTCCTATCTCATTACGCACTGTAAAATACAAAAACAAACAAAAACACACACAGTGGACGAACATTATCTAGAAAGGTACTCTCATATCTTATAGACTTTATATTATTCCTCTCTGATATCTGAAATCAGCAATTACAGAGATGTATAAAACAAAGAAATCCTAAGCAATCAAACACTTGTATTTAAAAAGAAAAAAAAGGCCTGTCAGAGATCAGCTCTGTCCACCCACAAGGGAGTAAGTGTAAGCAGGGACCAGGATTAGGAGCAAAAGACTCTCTCCCACTTGGCAGCTTCCCAACATGTACGAGTGCCATATTCAAGTCCTATTCTACAGACGTCCCCTTTTCCTCCTCAGATTTAATATGGAATGAAATTCTTTACACCAGAACAGTGAGAAGGCTGTTTTCCTTTACCGACCACCCATTCCTTGCCACCCATTACTTGCCCACCCATTCCTCCACTGGAGAAAACTTCGCCTGTCTCATTTGGACCAAAGCAATTTCTCCCCACCTGCAACAGAAAGATGGCACCAAGCCTGACGCGTTTTTACCCTAGTAAAGCCCCTACGCAGCAATGATCATGGCCGCTCTGGGCAGGGGAGTAGGGGCAGCGGAGTGGGGGAGGTCCCTGCCACTGACCTGTGTCGGTTTTTATTCTTTCGTTTTTTATGGCTGCTGTGATGACTCCCTGAGGAAGTAGAAGAAGCAGCCTTCTGAGGCTTCACTCCCTGCACAGATCCGTCCAGATCCTCAGGGTCCTCCTGGCTGGGCTCATTCTCCTGATTGTGGAAGTCTGGAGAAGTATCACTTTCCGTCCCACTTCCTGGCTCCCCTGGAGGGAATAAACACAAGTCCCAGAAGCATCAGCAGCACTCCTCAGGCAGTCTGTCTGTCAGCCAGGAAACATGTTGTTGAGCACTAACAGATCAAAAAAGTGACGACTTCCCATCTTCCAGGACCATACATTCTAAGTGACAGGAAAATACCTGCTGTCAGAGAAGATATGTGCAGTCAAAGCATCAAAATTACCAGAGTTCCAGAAACTCAAGGAACCTGAAACAGTATAACCAGAAGCAACCTACCTAAGGACAGCTGGGGGATGGGACCATATAAGCAGGAGTCCCTCCTCTTGGCTGCATAAAGGTCACTTAAACAGCAAATATACTAATGGGATTGATGATTATACAAGAAGCCTGGGTTCCTTCCCCAAATGGTACAGGAATCCTATCAAGGGGGAGCTCAAGAGGACAGGAGCCTCATTATTCTGAGAAGTCTTAAGAAAAGTATTTAAGGGATGGCTGGATGGCTCAGTCCGTACGCATCTGCCTTTGGCTCAAGTCATGATCCCAGGATCCTGGCATTTAGCCCTGCACTGGGCTCCCAGCTCAGTGGGGTAACTGCTTCTCCCTCTCCCCCTGCCTGTGCTACTTTTCTGTCAAATAAATGAATAAAAATCTTAAAAAAAAAAAAAAAAGTATTTAAAAAGTGGTAGTAATACTCTTCAGCTGACATACATTCCCAATTTTAAAATTCTTTTTATATATTAAGCAAATTCAAAAACAATTTGCATAAATATGTATTTTTAAGAATAATTACATAGGGGTGCCTGGGTGGCTCAGACGTTAAGCATCTGCCTTCCACTCAGGACATGAGCCAGCATGGGACTCCCTGCTCCATGGGAAGTCTGCTTCTCCCTCTCCCCCTCCCCCTGCTTGTGGTCCCTCTCTCACTGTCTCTCTGTCAAATAAATAAATAAAATCTTAAAAAAAAAAAAAAAGGAAAGAGGGGCGCCTGGGTGGCTCAGTGGGTTAAAGCCTCTGCCTGCGGCTCAGGTCATGATCCCGGGGTCCTGGGATCGAGCCCTGCATCTGGCTCTCTGCTCAGGGAGCCTGCTTCCCTTCCCCTCTCTGCCTGCCTCTCTGCCTACTTGTGATCCCTGTCAAATAAATAAATAAAATCTTAAAAAAAAAATTACATATATTCTAGTAAAGGTATACCTATTTTTTCCTGAAAGGAATTTCCTGAAACCATAACAGATAAGGATGGAAGAATATACTTTGATTTGACTCAACTACTCAAGGAGCCCAAATATGTACATGGTTTCTTTTTCTTTTTATTTAATTTTTGTACACTATCAGTTTCTAAAAACTGTCAAAAGCGGTTATATGGACAACAGGACCAGGGACCAGTTTTCTTCTTTTTATATCTTTGTATTATAAAGTGCTGGGAGGGGACTTCAAGTTGAATCACACATGGGCACAAGAATAAAAGAGAGACAGTCCCCAAAAAGCAGAAGGAAGCAGTGGAACCAGATCTCAGAAATCACAAGACCATATTTTTTAACATGTCACGAGTGCAACAGAAGAGGGAGCTCTACGGCTATGAAGCTAGAAAAAGTATGCTGATGAATCCTGCTCCTAAACCAATTTCATATAAAAATTGGAAAACAAACTTCAAAACTTAGTACCCAAAACTACGGTAACCACAACTGCGGGTAAGAAGAGACATACAGATCAACAGAATTCGAAGTCCAGATAAAACCTTTACAGTTAGGGTCAAATGGCTTTGAAGGGTGATGAGACAATTCAATGAATCGTATTTTTGATAAATAAGGCTGGGACAAGTGGACATCCTCAAAGAAAAGAATGAAGGCTGGCCCCTAACTCACACCACACACAAAAATTAATTCAAAATGTATCAGAGGCCTAAATGTAAGAGCTAAAAACATAAAACTCTTAGAACCCACTTGATTAGGTAAATGGTTTCTTAGGTATGAGCACAGAAGGCAGCCTAACAAGAAAAAATACACAAGTATGTGGAGAAACTGGCACCCCCACACATTGCTGATGGGAACAGAAAATGGTACAGCCACCTGGAAACTGTCTGGCAGTACCTCAAAGCCTAAGAACAGACTTAACAAATGATCCAGCAATTCCACTCCTACGTATATATCCAAGAGGAATGAAAACAGGTTCACACCAAACTTGTCATGAATATTCACAGCAGTATTAAACCTAGTAGCCAAATGACCACTAACTGATGAATACATAAATAAAATGTGGTGTATCCATACAATGGAGTACTATTCAGCATTAAAAAGAAATGTAATAGTAATACATGTTTTGTTTAGGGCTTTTTATTTTTCCTTGGTGTGATTATAGTGGTAAGAGCCTATCGTTTATAGAACTACCATAACACGCAGCAATCCTATTTGTGGGTATTTATCCAAAGAACTGAAATCAGGATTTTGAAGAGACACCTGCACTCCCATGTCCACTGAAGCATTCATTATTCACATTACCCAAAGTATGTGGTAAAACCACCTAAACACCCATCAATGGATGAATGGATAGAGAAAATGTGGTATTTATATATATACAGTGGAATATATTATAAAAGTCTCAAAAAAAAAGAAGGAAATCTTGTCATATGCTACAACACAGATGAACCAGGAGATCATGTTGAATGAAATAAACCAGTAGCAGAAGAACAAATACCGCATGATTGTATTTATGTAAGGCAGCTACAACAGCCACACTCAGGGAAGCAGAGAGTAGAATGGTGGCTGCTAAGGGGAAGGAGAAATGAGGAGTAGAAAGTTTCAGTTACACATGAATAGGCTCTAGAGATCTGCTGTACAACACTGTACCGGTAGTTAACAATACTATAGGAGGCACTTAAAAATCTGTGAAAGTTGGGGGAACTTGATGGCTGAGTCGTTAGGGCACACAACTCTTAATCTCAGGTTGTGAGTTCAAGCCCCACATTGAATGTGGAGCCTATTAAAAAAAAAAAAAAAAAAAAAACTGTGGACTTATTTTTAACTTTTTTTTTTTAAAGATTTTATTTATTTATTTGAGAGACATTACAGAGGGAAAAGGAGAAGGTGACTTGCTGTTGAGCAGAGAGCCCGATGTGGGCCTCAGTCCCAGGACCCTGAGATCATGACCTGAACCGAAGGCAGATGCTTAACTGACTGAGCCATCCAGGCACCCCTGTTTTTACCACAGTCTAAAAAACCTATCATTTGGAGAGACCTAAGAAACATGCATACAAGAAAATGGTAGGATGTCTAGGATTTTCAATGTAACATAGGAGGTGGAAGTGACAATAGGGGTATGGACGGAGCACTGAGCATGCTCTGGGATTTGGGGCAGTGTAATGGGTACACAGGGGTTTGGTTTTTTTACCTTATTTGTATAGATTCAAAAATTCACTTTAATAAAGAGTTAAAAAGTATTCACTTTTCCCTGTAGTTTATTTCAATATCTATAACAGGCCCTCCCAATATAAGTGGTGATACTCTTTTTGGAAAGTCTAGGGTGTTTTCCAAAAACCAAAAACCAATTCCCTGATTCTCCAGACACCAACAATTTGATTCCGTTCTAATACTTATTACTGGAGTTAGGGCAGACCCACAGGTTAAGGGCTCAGTCCCATAAGCATGCCTCCCTCACTTCAGTCCCAAGTCCCAGGCCTCTCACACTTCTGACCAATGAGCTATATAAATCAGGGGGTACCCTAAACTCCTTCTTCAGGTTTCATAATTTCTCCAATAACCCCAAGAACTCAGGAATATGATTTATTTACTATTAATTGTCTGTTATAAAGGCTACAACTCAGCAACAGCTAAATACATAGGGCAAGGTATGGGGAGGAGCGGGGAGCTGCCATGCCTTCTCTGGGCACACCACCCTCCTAGCACCTCACTTCATTCACCAACTAAAGCTCCACAGTTTAGGGTTTCAGTTCTTTTTTTTTTTTTTTTTTTTTTTTTTTTAAAGATTTTATTGATTTATTCAACAGAGAGAGAGAGAGAGATCACAAGTCGGCAGAGAAGCAGGCAGAGAGAGAGGGGGAAGCAGGCTCCCCGCTGTGCAGAGAGCCCGATGTGGGGCTCGATCCCAGGACCCTGAGATCATGACCTGAGCTGAAGGCAGAGGCTTAACCCACTGAGCCACCCAGGCGCCCCTCAGTTCTTTTTTTTTTTAAGATTTTGTTTATTAGAGAGCATGCACGCATGCTCATGGCAGGGCGGGGGCGGCAGAGGGAAGCAGACTGTCCACTCAGCAGGGAGGCTGATGCAGGGGCTCAATCCCAGGACCGTGAGATCATGACCTGAGCCAAAGACAGATGCTTAACCGACTGTGCCCCACAGTTTAGAGGCTTTTAAGGAAGTTTCATTATGTAGTCATGATTAAGTCATTGGCTACTGGTGATTAACTCAGTCACTAGCCCTCCTCCCCTCTCTGAGTTTCGGGGGAGGGCTGAGAGTTCTAAGCCCCCATCCTTCACACTCTCTAGGGGCCCCCAAGCTCTCAGTCATCTCCATTAGCGTTCAACAATTTCTTCTGTATGCAGTGAATACTAGTCATTCTTATCACTCTGGAGATTCCAAGGGTTTTAGGCGCTGTGTGCCAGAGCAGGGGACAAAGACCTACTATGTACTTCCCACCACACCACAGAAAGTAACTGTGCCGTATTTACAAAAATCACCCTTTGACACAATAATGCCACTTCCGGGACACCAACCTATAGAAATAAAAAGCCCATTACACACAAGCTAGTGTACGAGGAAGTTTCCTGCAACATTGTTTATAGTGGGGAAAGTGGAGAGTGTGAATGCGCACCAAGGGGAGGAGGCACAACCAGACTGCTGGGTATTTTCAGCATTTGAAAAGAATGTGAGGTTGTAACAATAGCTAACAGAGTCCTAACTAGAAGCCTGGCCTGTTCTATACCCTTTACATACATCGTGCCTAAAGCCCTCACAGAAACCTCTGCAACTATGATGACCACTTACAGAGAAGGGAACCGAGGAGGCTGGAGTTT